AAGGGAGTGCCAGCCAAGAGGATCACTTGGTCAACAGCAGAGACTCCTTCCAGGGATTCAACATGGGCCTGAATTAACAAAAGTGAAATTCTTGAGGCAAGCAAAACAGAATTGCCTAAGGATCAATATACATAAGTCAGCATTTTGACAGTCAGAGATACAAAGGAGAACAGGATGTTTTGGACTATTATCCATGGAACTTGAATACAAGTTCAAATTTGGAGTGAGCTATTTTTAAGTTTTTGAAAATCAACAGTGATTATAAAACTTGATCACAAAAGAATTGTACATCACAAAATACCATTTGATACAGTAATGTCAAAAGTATTATGGAAGTCGGACACTCAAATGAAGTGCATTTTTCACTGCACAGTTCACCCTCTTGCCAGCTACAGCATACAATACTGAATTTGATCCTAGTAATAAATGTGGGGATGTTTTGACTGTAAAGCCACTTCATAAACACAGCTGTAATAGGGAACCTTAAAACATCCATTATCTAAACACTAGGCTTTATTTCAAATTACTACAACTTTGGGTACAGTATAGCTAATCACAAACCACACAACTCTGATTAATGGAGGAGCTACAGCATTGACAAAAATCAATTAAAAGAATGAAGACGACTGGACAGAGCTGAGGAGTCAATATGGACACGACCAAATGAACAGAAAAGAAAAAAATCACTCCTACATTTACTATCTTCAAACATGACAGCATCTCTAAGCAACAGAATTTGTAGAAGTTACTTCAGTGGTGCTGTTAGTACACACCAGATCAATCCTTCATGGTATTGCCAATCACACCTAAAATCACAATGCTTTGTGTCTGACCACACCTGAATGAAGCACCATTGGACTTTTCCATACATTAATCACCTTTCAAATACAGGTGGTTATTTGATTCCAAAAAAAAAAAAGGTTCCATCAAGTTTAATCATTAGTTATGTTTACTCTTTTTAATCCTTCCAAGTCCTCTATAACAACATGAAGCCTGAACATGACTAAGTTGGAAGGCCCAAAGTAGATTAAAACAGACCCAACAAATCTTTAGACATGCTACTTTTGTGAAGAGAGTCAGTCAGGCGAAGCAATGGAAATATTTTAGAATGGAACAATAGTTAACTTTGTATCATTTAGCTTCCAATGCTTCAAAATCAATACAGAAAATCCTTCCTACAAAAATTGCCAATGAGATTCATTACACCTACAGTAACCATCCATCTGCTCCACTTGGCCAGCACCCAATGTCATTTGGGGTGGCACCAAACTAATTACCAGCACAATTACCAGTGCCTTACTATTTTCCCCAGCATTAGAAAATAGCTTCAACTGAAGACTACACAGATGTGACAGGACAGCACACTAACACATTGGGCACTGTAATTACAGCATTTTCAAATTGCATAATTGTTAATTAGCATCCAGTTTAATTGCTAGTCAGTCATAAGTAACTTGAATACAACCTTTCCCATAATTAATTAGTTGTGTTCTTGTTCATGGACATCCAAAATATAAAAATCAGTCATCTTTAAGTGCACAGGCCCAAATATGCAAAACCAAACGCAAATGTTTGTTTGACATTGCCCAAAGTATTAGGTATGCCACAGCCTGAGACAAATGCAATAAATTCAACAATAAGTGAATTGGGATTTTATTTTACCGCTTTCATCACTGGATCCAGCAATGCGGTGGAAAATAGCCTTATAAATAGGAACACAAATGGAAACCATTTCTAAAACACCTTTATATAAAAACAAAAAAGGACCAATACCAGGAAAAGACTCAATTCCTGGTAATTGTTAAAAATACAAATAAAACAGTAGTTTGTACAAGTTAAGATTTTAGCCCCAAAAATGAGCACACCCTTTAGTAGGCAGTCTACCTTAATTTGCCCAACGGTCTCTTCCCCAGTCACATCAAGAGTGTGGGTTTTCTGAGCATGTAGAAACAGCTGCATGATGCTTCTAGGGAGCAAAACAAAACTTTTTTCAATGTATGAAGCAGTACTAACTGCCCAAATTTCACTTAAAAACCTCATGTCCAAATCAGCTGCCAGTCAAATAATACTATATACAGATAATCATCGACAAAATAATATTTCAACAAAAGGGACAGTTCATGCATAGATGTCACTGTTGACCCTCTGCTACAAATCAAATAAAGCAACCCTACATTTGTTGCCAATAAAATTTAGTTAGTTCAATGAATAGCATAAACTGGTCACCTCTAATTTGTTAGGAACATATATAACTGCAGACCCATGCTCTTAATCATCCTTTGATGTGGCCTAGCAAGTAGTGGTTTATAAAAGATTCCACCAACTTCTCATGGCAACTAAGGATGAGCACTATAGTATCTTTCTAGTACAGAAACACACCCTTCAGTCCAACTCATCTATGCTGACTAAGTTTCCCCAAACTAAACTAGTTCCACTCACCTGTTTGCCCATCTCTCTAAACCATTCTTATTCATGTACTTATCCAAATCTTTTAAAAAATGTTGTAGCTGTACCTAACACTTAATCTGGCAGCTCATTCCACATATAAACCAGTGTGAAAAAGTTGCCCCTCACGTTCATTTAAAATCTCTCTTCTCACTTAAAATATGCCTAGTTTTGAAATCAACTACCCTAGGCAAAACAAGATGTAGAGCTGGATGAATACAGCAGGCCAAGCAGCAGAGGAGCAGGAAAGCTGACGTTTCGGGTCTGGACCCTTCTTCAGAACATTCCCACTATCTCTACCCTAGGGAAAAAGACCTTTGCTATTCACCTTTAAGGCCCTCGTGATTTTATAAGCCTCAAAACGGTCTCCCCTCAACTTCCTATCCTTCGATGAAAAATGTCCCAGCATAACGCAAACTCTCCAGTCCCAGCATGGATAAAATGTTGAATATAAAACTTTATATACCCTCCCATTTCACACTTTTGAGGTACAGCTGAGGGAGAAGGAAATAAACATGCAAACACCATAACCCTCACCATTTCAACAGGTCATTTTACAATGATACAATTCGGAGCAGAAATGTGCCACTAAGACCACTGTTCCACCATCCAAAAGATAACATCTGATTTGATTGTGACATCAACACTATGTTCTTGCCAAACTCCAACTCCTTTGTCAAGAGATCAATAACGTGCATTTATCATTCTCCAGGAAAACACAGTCTATTCATCCAACATGAGCGACCCCTTAGGTGAACTCTCGCCCTTGGTAATACAACAACATGCCCTCCCCCCAGTCTTGACGATCAATGGGTCAAGTGGATTCAGATCAGTAAGAGCTGTCCAACATTTAAAATCTAATACTTAATGTCACTAGAGAACCTATGAACAATGAATATGAGTAGGGCTATTGAGTTCTTCATGCAAGATTTGTCATTCGACAAAATCATGGCTGATCTGATTTTAAACAGAACTCTATATTCCTGCACAGCCCTTATAATATTTCATCCCTTGTGCAGTAAAGAATCTACCACTGCCTTAAAAGGATTTAAAATTCTTAATCTACACCATCCTGTGGAACAGAACTCCAAATCATCAACTCTGGAGAAAGGTTTTCCTCATTTGTTTTAAGTGCACATCTCCCTATTATTAAAAGTATGATCCTAGTTCTAGGTTTTCGTCGAGAAAATATCCCTTTCACATAGGCTTGATGTGACCTTTGACTGCTAAAGCTCCGTCTCATGAAAACTCAAAACTGCGGGGCATATTTTTAAGGTGAAAGAACGATGTAAAACGGACATGTAAGCTACTCTCTATGGAAAAAGTTGTCCATGTGGAACGAGCTGCCAGATAAAGTGGTAGGTGTAGATACTGTCACAACACTTTTAAGACATTTGGATAAGTACATGAATAGGAAAGGTTTAACGATTATGGACCAAACGCAGGCAAATGGGACTAACTGAAGTCTGGGAACGTGGTCGGCGTGGCCAATTTGACCGAATGGCCTGTTTTCACGGTGTATGACTGTAACACGCTTTCCTAATTAATACTGATTTTCTTCAGTTGCTGTCTCATGAAGCAATGCACTCATTCCAGGTAATCTTATAAGCTTCTGAATTACTTCCAAGGCATTAACTTCCTTCGGTAAATTTAGTGGCCAGTTCGGTACGCAGTACTCCAGATACTGTTTCATCAGCGGCCTGAACAGCCACAAAATGTGACAGTCGCTCAACGGAAGCGGCCACGTGGCTTCTAGTTGCCAATACATCGGCCAGCATCAAGTTTTCTAACATAGACCTCCCGCACGAAGGGCCCACCACCACCAGCCCGCACTCCCGGCAAATGGCGCCGGCCCGAAGGGGAAGACCAGGTTCCAGGCCCGGCGCCATTTGGCGACACACACAGCCCGAGGAACCGAAAGGCCACAACCGACAACACAATCAGGACAAGGAGACGATAAATCCGTCTTTTTGCACGTTCAGAACTCGCCAAACTGCAGTCACTCACCGAGAAAAGGTGGGTCCGGTTTCACAGTGAAAACTGCAACAAGCCGACCACCACCTTCCAAAACAGAAAAAGAGAGATCTGCCGCACACGCGCACTATAACTGCGATCAAC